CGAGTAAATGCGCGCGTACGTATTACTACCGTCGTCGTCGTCGTCGTCGTCGTCGTCGTCGTCGTCGTCGTCGCGTAGAAACCGTGCGTGCACGCACGCACGCACGCACGCACGCACGCACGCACGCACGCACGCATGCATGCTACGCGAGTGTGTAGTGGTTTCATTCATAAAGTCACGCGTTTCATGAGGAAACGCCTGCGCACGCGTTAACGAGAGGAACGGCGGTTTCTTCAGCCGCTTCTTCTCACCTACCTATACCTATCCATATCCTAGCCTGCCTACCCCCGCGAGAAGACGTTAATACGCGCCTTCAGAATGAGCGCACTTCCGGTCGGACGCGCCGCGGATGTGCAGCGCCCGGTGGCAGCAATAAAAGCGCGGCTGTTAATGCGCTCGAAGCCGACGACTCTCCTGGCCGCGTTCTGCAAACCGTGGGACGACGAGATTCCGCGATCGATTCTCTCGGCCCTCACTCCAGCGTGTAATTGAAACGGCCATTTCAGACTACACAAGTTACTTTTTTTTTTCTCTCTTTCGACTGTTTTTTTTTTTCATGAAAGATAACGAAACTTCATCTTCGCGTGATATCTTTGACAATTTCCGCCCCACACAATTATGGCACACTTGTCGACTTTACGAACGTTAATTTCTTTCGACTAAAATACGTCAGTTTGCAAAGGTGACAATTTGCACGTAAATTTGGCGAACTTTGTGACTCGAAATTACAAATTTCCATAACGCGCTTCTTTGCACTTTTTTCGCTTTGAGATCGTAGAGTCGCGCGCGTAGAATTCTGCCAAGTACACGCTTGGATCTTGCTTTTCAAAGTGCGGTGACCCTTCAGGCTTGGGCGGAACTCCTTCGCTTCCGGTGCTGTTCCGCTGCTGCTATTTCTATATATAAACCCACACACACATATCCTCTCTCTGTTTCTTTCATGTTGGCATAAAGCGTGTGCATGTGTGCGCGCGTGTGCGTTCTACCGAATACCAACGCGAAACGAGGGGACGACTTCGTTACACGACAGGCTAATTTATAGGCCGCGCACTCCTGCTCAATGATTTTCCGCGGGAATTACTTAATCGAGTGGCTTTGTCGGGAAGCAAAATACATCCGAACCAACTACGATTTAACCTTGAAACCATATCATATAACAGATACGACAAATGTTTTCGATAAAATGAAATTTCGCGCAATCGTGTTTAAAATTAAATTCGAGCGATAGGAAGAGTTCAAAGGAAAGGTTTAAGAATGATTCTGGTAATTCTGTCTGCAAGTACTCACCGGATCGCCTCGCCCGATTTCTTCGTGTTGTCGTGTAAGAAAAAAGAAGGAATATTTTCCTCGCGCAAAACTGTCGGTTTTTCTATTCCTGGTGCGCTAGATTGATAATGGTTTGTCGCAGGATACTGTCGTACAATTGGTGGCTTCCTACGACTTCCGGTACTCGCTGTGGAGGTCGGCGATTACTTTTTGTCGGAAGTTCGTTGCCACGTGGGAGAATGGTGGGGGCGGTTACCGGAGTCAGAAGGTCGTACCGCGTCGTCGCGACAAGTTAATCGTGGCTCTCGAAGGCTCTTAATTGCGCTAGGATTCATCTCGTTTCACCGCGCTAATCCTTGTGCGCGGGGTGGTTTCGCGATTCTTCCTGCACTGATCGTTCTATCGGGGAGATTGTCCCGATGAAAACTGAGCAAAATGAACGCTATAGCGCGGCGCAAACGCAACGAACAATTTCGTCGCGTCTAACTACTTCAATCTGCAAATCTATAAAAAAAAAATAAAAATTTCTTTTTTCTTTCATATATCATATTTATGTAAAAATATATTCGAGTAATCTTATTATAATGATGCGCGTGAAAGAGAGAGAGAGAGAGAGAAAGAAGTGGGGAAGGGCGTTATACGCTTTTTAAGATGCGAACAAATACATCCTTGTGCAACAAGGTCAAAGAACGTAATAGGGAGCGCCGCGAAACAGGTCACGGGAAGGCACAATGTGGCGACAAATTGCGTAATAATCAGTCTGCGTTATAGACTCTGCAGACTAAGCAGGACAAGCATGAAACGAAAGAAGGGAAAGGACAATGTCCCAGGGTGGTTGCTTGATGCTCACATACGAGCAGAGTTTCGTTTTAGGACGCACCCTTGCGTATCGACGCGCAGCGAACCACGATCTTGCTAGTTATTTTCTACATACCATCCGCCTATTCGTAGACGACGGATTTCGGTGCGACAGGATGTGAACCGTTGGAAACTCGGATTGAAAATTAGCACGATAATACATCTTCTCTCGATGGGATCCCGCACATTCGGCGTCACGGTTTCAAAAATTTATACGTGCTGTCCGTGACTCCCGTTTTTTATCGGCGGACATTCACGTAGACAAAAATTAAATGTTTATCACTGATTGAACCGCTGCCGTTGGAGGATCCAAGACATTCGTGTTACGAAAATACGAATGTCAATCGCATCAATCGCTAATCTACGACACGAAACCGGCCGCTCATGTATCGATTCTGCCGCGCAATAACAGGAACAACAATAACAACACTGTCGTCACCGGACGTTGTCACGACGAAAAAGTGAGAAAGATGGGGAGCAGGAGAGAGAGAGAGAGAGAGAGAGAGAGAGAGAGAGATTCGTCATTGAGTCGCGTTGCACGTGCGCCGCGATGCATCGCGTATCAGCGGCGGTGCGCAGGGCAAAGTGCATTGTGAGACTGCCGGCGGGTGCAGCGCCGGTGTCCTGGCTTTCCTATGCAACGCACTGCACCGTACCTCCCACTCTCCCATCGCCCATCGTCACTGTTTCGTCCGTCTCCGCCGTCTCTCCGCCGCCGCGTTCCTTCCCGTTCGTGCGCCGACGCACCGACCACGTAACCATCCTCTTTAGCTAGGCCGATTACCGCATCATCGACGACGTATCTGTCTCTTTTTCCCTTCGTTACGTCGGTTTTCATCTATCACTCTCCTTCCTTTGCTGCTCCCGTTTGTATCATCGTTTCTTTCGCACGCTCATTTCAAATTTTCAAAGAAGCCACCGCACGAGGTGCTTTAGACTAAAGTGTTAATTTCCTTGAAAACAGTAAATCCCTTCTCTCTTTCGTACTTTGCATTTCGAGCTCTATTCGTACTTCCTAGGATTTTTCCTCTCACGGGTTTCTCCGCGATGACCAACCGGCCGTTTCTGTCTCTGTTGGTTCTCTCTCCGAGCGAGAGAGCGAGCGAACGCGGCGGCAGATGCGCGCCCGCTTCTCCACCGCGCCGCCGTTCCTCCCTGTATATCCCTCTCATGTTCTACGTAGAAACGGACGTGTACCGTCCGTCGCCGTTCCACCGGAATGCTTCCTCCCCGTCTCTCTCTCTCTCTCCTTCGGACTTTGCCGGTCACTGCGTCATTTCTGTTCGTCCCGTTCTCTCCGTCTCCCTCTCTCTCTCTCTCTCTCTCTCTCTCTCTCTCTACCCCTCCCGATCTCACACCAAACAGTGGCGGATTCACACATCGCGCTGCTCTAGGCACGTTAATTCGTGCCACCCCTCGTAGTATGGATCTCCGAGCCGGGTCTGTTCCTTTTAGCTGTACCTCTTTGTACATTTATTCGACAAGGAAAGGAGAAGCAAGAACACAGAGACGCAACGTGGCTGAGAGGAATAGACCCTAACGAACCTTTGAGCGCTGACTTAGGCCATGCATTTTTTTCACATAACGAACTAGAATAAAGATAGAAACTACGGTACGTATCGGTATGTATTTAGCGTTGAACGGAAGTCGCGGCCTTTGGCATCGTTGCGTGTCGAAAGGATTACGCTTGATAAATGTGCTTGGTGTAATTATTTTCGCCACATTGTCATTATTATTAATTCCATATTCCTTCGCTAAACCTATTGCAGACACATATTTTTGTATTATATATTTTGTAATCCGTGTGCTCTACAAGAAGAGTTGGACATTGACAACCGCAATTCATCGGAGATAACTCGGAAGCAACAGTCTAAAGTTACAGTGATAATTTGTTCGTTTACTCACCTGTATAATCCGCGACGTCGCCTTCGGCCACATACAGCCGCGTCTCTTGTTTCACTCTCGTCATGGTGCTGTCAAGAGCGACGTATCTTGATCGCCCTCGAAACAACTCGGAATCTATTCCTAAATCCGCCACTGCTCCCGAGTCGGCATCCTTCTCGGTCAGTGCGCCCTACCACTCGCACTCCCGGTTGCACCGGGAAACCGAGCCGGCAGTGTAGCCGTCCTTGTCGCACGTCGCTCAGCTCCATTCATGTCTCGGTTCTCCTCGGGTTATGCAACTGCGGTGAGACGCGAAGCGCGAGGGATGCCGCGCCGCGCCGGCACTGCACGCCGTCACTTCACCGTGTCTGAGTCGAGGAGGAGAGGTCTTTGTGACTTCCCGCCGACAAGTGCTCCTTACTTCTTCTCACAATTAGCGTAATACCACCTATTATGATCGAATCACTTTACTTTTGAAAGACTACTAGTCGAAAATTCTTATCTCACAGGAAAGGCGAGAACACTCGATAGCGTTCGCACGACGCACAAGAGTGTTCGCGAGCGCTACCGCCCCGCGGTAAAAACTACGAGAATAGGATTGCCGCAGGACGCATTTGTCATTTTCCAATAATATTGTTTGTTAAAAAATAAATCGATTAAAAATCCTTTTGAGAACAAATGAGTCACATTTGTGTCAATCCTTCTCGTTCTTATTGTTGTGATGCAATTGGTAATTTTTCATGGGTAAATTATGCGAATTAAGATACAAGATCTGAAAAATACAAACGTAGCGATAAAAAGCATCGCGTACAAAAGCATTACGGGTGTCTACGCGATGCTCGTTGCGTTACGTTACGTAGAGCGAACAATCGTATCTATACGTACGTTACAAAATAAATAGCAGTTCTTTTTTAGTTGTTATATGACAATATTACATTGACTTAAACTCGAAGGACCAAATGGGATATTCGAGGTTGTCTTGCACACGTCACCTTGATGCACTGTTTTTATTGCATATTAAAAATTGCATCGCAACACATCAAACCTATGATGAATGAATACAAGAGGCGTTTCTTGGATATTTAATGCGCGGAGATCTTCGGGACGATATCTCCGATTGAATCTCCTTGCGTGCTAATAAATGAGAAAAGTGAAGCAGTCGTTGCTAACATAGCCCATAAATTCACCAAATACCGATATAACACGAGTAACGCTAATTAAGTTACGAAGGCACCTAATTTACACAGTTTGAACGTAAAATTCTTGTTACAGCTGAAAAAAGCGATCAAGAAGAAATCGTTGCGCGTTTCTGTCAAGCATTTATCCACCAAAGATCTTAATCAACGTCTAAGCGCTCCTACACACCCTTACACATCCATCGGTGCGGATTTCCTATGCGAACGAGTAATCAAACAATCGTGTCGAATTGGTAACGCGCGGCGGGCGGCGTGCGCTCGCAACTCCAACCCAAACGATACCCTCTCACACGATCGACCTCGCTAACTACCTATCTAAAAGGTACAATATGATATCTGTACAATCATCCAAGTCTGTATATAGTCGCGTAATTAATTACAGATATATATTTCGCTAAAACACCGCGTACCACCGTCGTGAAGCCACGACTTTGGTCGCTCTCGATAACGACTTTCGCTTCTGTCATCGAAGCTCTGTGTCAACGGGCGATGCTCGTTCGTACAGGTTTAATATAAACCGAACATCGCTAATTTTCCGCACTTTTCGATCATGCCGGTCGTCCGGATTGAAAGATCGTCGAGAAGACCGACGATCGCAGTTGGCGCGATAGCGTTAAAAGATCCTCGTGGATAGAAAGGTTTAATTGACAATTCGGAGTTGACAATTTCGGTCAACCGGTCGAATGGTGTCCGTAAATGCTCGAAACGGCAGTTTTTATCGAATCGTCGCGATAACGCTACTTGGTGGACTACATCACGCTGGGAGACGCTTCTCGACGTTCGTGAAACCAAACCAAAGGGCTTATTAAACGGCCCATTTAGCTCGAAAATCAGTACGAGGAATATGCAGTTGCATACACACGCGAGTGTCGATACATATTGCTAATACTTGGTAGTGTACTATCGACAGTATCAAAATATAGTCTCTATATCTTACATAAGTGGGCAGCGTCGAGAATCAGACATTGATGGCCGATCTTTCGATTCGATCGCGAGGAGGAATACCGATCTCGAGGAGACGTCTCGAGTCGCGGGGATCACAATTAATAATGAAAGCAAAATATTACGTTCGCGTCGCGTTCTCTCCCTCTCTCTCTCTCTCTCCCTATTCTCTCTGAGAACGAACATTATACGTATAAAAAATCTATATGCGCATTGAAACACGAGAGCAACGAGTGCGCCAGCATGAAGGTGAAGTGACAAATCCGACAGCGTTCGGTTCTCCTACTTTCGAATCGCGGAATCGCGGTATCGATCGCTCGTGTCCCGCGACACCTGAAGCGGCGTTTTTCACTTGGCTTCGTTATGGATCGATGAAACGTTTCGTGCTAGCACAGTTGCGAAATGTTGCAACGTTAAAAAGTATCGTACGAGTGTCCCATCGTTTCTGTAGAATTTCTCGCGCATAAATTTATGCTTTAGATTGCGAAACCTGCCTGTCGCGGTGTGAAAGACGGGGGTGAAGACGGCGAGTGAACGAGTCGTGCCGCCGTAAAACGACATTTCTGTCCATCTTTTTCTTTTTTTTCTTTCCTTCTAGAAAATGATCTCAGAGAGGCCTGTGTCGGATTCTGCGGTCTATTTTCGCGCCGACGGGTATAGCGGCAACCTCGTTACGTGCTCTGAGATAAACGCCACGTCGCCGTAAGAACGAAATTGCACCGTTGCGCGGCCGGTGATTAGAAAGGACACATTGTAACGCAATAAATACGCGTATAGATTTACCTGGCAGGCATGAACGACGACGACGAACGAACGGGCCCGATTGCGTGCGTCCTGCACGTGTGTATGTCGCACGCACGAGAAACCGCTTGCGCGCGCGAGTTACGAAATATTCGCAACTATCCCCGTCGAGGTGGAGCGACAGAGTCTCGTGTTTCAGAAAGGCGCGAATTTGCATAATGCGACGACGGTGAGCCGCGTCCTCTCCCATTAAGATGGAATTCTAGCGGTGAATCGCGGCGGATCGGAAGCGTACGTACGGACGATTCGAGAACGAACTAATTCGACGATTAAGCCGCGATTAAAATCTCAACGATACTAACGGTACTCGCGCGGGACGAGCAGTAATGTAGGAACATCGGGGGATAATTGACGCAACAACAAACAACAGACGCAGTGGTCCTTCGTGGGAACGACTTCGAGAGAGGTTTCGGCAGATTCTCAAATACGTTTAACATCAGAGGAATAACAACAGAGTCTCCTTTATTCGTCTTCTCGTGAGGTGGCGCGATACCTCTCTCGATATTTGTGTAATCGTAACGTCCCTCGAATGTGATTCTCTCGACGCTGCGCATTATTTCACAATTACTCTACCTACTGACAGTCGATTAGTTTTCGCACCGATCCTGCGTTTTTCAGTGAATCCTGAAGAACATCGATTTGAGTGTTCGATCTTAAGTGCGGCTGTCGGATGCCTTTAAACTTCGACTCGACATTTGCAATCGCACCAGCGCAGACTAGATACTCGGAGGAAGACTTTTTCAAAATGTGAAATGCGTTCTACGGGTTCGTTGAGAGATATCTACTGGTTCGGGCTGCGAGAACGTTGTACTTTGAGCGGTGACGCGATTTACTTTCGCAAAAGCGTCGATCGATTTTTAGACGATTGAATTGAATTGATTAACGCAATTCTCTTCCTGCACGATTCGGTCGATACCTCGCAGAGATTGAAGCCGGTGTACGATAAATTGATATTGTGATAAGTTCGGGTTTCGACCCTCCTCGCCTGATTTTTCTCGCGACATCGAAAATTCGACTCGCGGAAATCGTCGACCGGTTTCAGTCTCCACGTTTTGTCGCGCGAACGAGTCGCGTGAAAGGTGTCGAACGCGTTCGACAACAATTTCCTCCGTCAGAATTGTGTATGATGTTTCGATGAGTAACAGGAATCACGGAAATATATCATGGAAAAACGTCCCTCTCGCTATTCGTTCCTTTCTCCTGAGTCTTCGAGGACGAAGATGCCTCATGTATTTTGCGAGGCGAATAGTACTATTATTTATTGTTTGGCGTGCGAGTCAAGAGAGAACTCCTTCACGTGCGATTCCGGTGCACGTTAAACCATGATTTGGACGCGCCTCAGCAAAAGGAAGGACGCCGTCAGAAACGACTTCCTTAACCTAGGCCAACGTCTAAGGACATCATCACCAGGAAACCGACGATGGCGGCCCAGCTGGCGAATTTGCCGTTTCCGCTGTAAACAGAAAGTACGCGAGACGCTCGCATTAAGTGTTCGAAATATCTCGTCGAGGAGATATCTCGAGGCCGTCCGCGAGAGGAGTCCACCACCGAGGAGACATCCTTTCCCTGGACAACTTTCTTCGAACTCGTATTTTGCGCGGGCGCAATCTCGCGATTCATAGTCGTGGCTGTGACGGAGTGGCAAGAGAAGCGGGCGGGAGAATTTTAATTAGTGCAACGAGCGTACGGATCGAACGTAAAAATCAAAGGACGAAGGGAGGATGGACTCTGGGGGAATTAAAAAGGCGGCGCCGTAGTCCACTGTCGTTGTCCCTTTCTCTCTTTCTCTGCCTACGGCCCCGTGGCAACGACCTGGCGGAAAGAGAGCCCCAGGATGGCGAGAAATAAAAGGGTTTTCGCGGCGTAAGTAGGGATTAAGCACATACAAAGCACACACTCGCGCTACACGCGTATATACCCGGTATTGCACGTCACGGCTTGTTGATTTCGTAAATTATACACGGCCATCAATTTTAACGGCCGGCGAAACGCGCCGTTGTATTTCGGTGGGCGTTCTACCACATCAATCATATCCGCGCGGTAAATACCTCCTTTCGGTGTGCCTCAGAAAATTTGTATTTTTATTGGCCATTATCGTATCTCATCGCCGTGGTAGCCGGGACAATGTCGTCCGTCGTCGTCGTCGTCGTAGACATTCGCTCGCCCGCTCGCCGTTTGGGCAAAACTGGGGCGTCCCGTCTATCGCTCGTGCTATCAAAGTCGATGCTCGATTTCAATCATCTCTCAAGACGCGTTGTGTCTTGACCGAGGAAAAGCTGCCGTTGTTTTCTCGATCGCGGCACGGCGCGGCACGTCAATAAATTCAGATAGCCCGGTCGTGAATCGTCGTGAACATGGAACATCGTCGGCGAAGCGGGCGTTCCTTCTCGCCGAGCAGAGGAAAATGCAAATTTCTTGCGAGGGGCGACCGTTCCGCGAAACGCCGCCGAGTCGAGCCGAGTCGAGCCGCGCCGCGCCGATTTCTGCCGGTATGCTTCTCGAAAGTACCGGACTCTCGGCAGAATTTGAAGGGATCGTTTCTTCGTCCTGATCGTCTGTGATTTAGGCTGTTCGAACGCGAGACCCGGTCGCACCGACCGCGTCTCCCATCGCGTCGAAACGCGTGTCAACCCCTCGCGTGGTCCCGCCGCGTTACGAACGTAACGTTCTTCTTTTTCACCGTGGAAATTGGGGGAATTTGTTGTAAAATTCGTACGACTCGACTTTCGAGTTACAAGCAGATTCAGCTGTCGGAATTATCAGCGGGTAATGTCGGCGCGCACAACCCACAATTTCTCATATCTCACTTAACCGGGGAAAATGTGGATTTGGCAAATACGACCGCGGATTACTCAAACAGTACAATCTGTGAGTACTTACGGCACTTGGGGCCGCATTCATGGCCGTTTCTTAAGGTGTCGAGACTCGCTATTAATACAACATGTGCATGTTTGCACGCGCGCATAAGATGGAGGATCCTCATTCCCGAAGAAACGACCGGTGAATGCGCTCTCCTCGGCCGCTTATTTGCCGTACGATCCAACGTGATCATTGTTCGAATGACGAAAACGGCGATCCGGACGATCGAGTCGCGATCTCGCGATCCCCTCGGCGCGTATCCGCCCTTTCGCAAGGATCGGCTCTCTCTCTCTCTCTCTCTCTCTCTCTCTCTCTCTCTCTCTCTCTCTCTCTC